ACACTTCCGTGATGTCAGGGGGTGTGGCATATGCTAATGAGTTATGCTGATGAGTTCCCCTAGCTCTTTTGCTACGAAACGACCCCTGTACGCAGGTACATAACGCCCAGCCTCTGTCATCTGCCAATAAAGGTGATGACCAGTTTTCCCTCTAAGCTGAGTTAGTGTGAGCTAGCTCACAGCTTTTTAGCCTCAGGCTCACAGATTTTTGTCTTAGCTCAGGAAGGATGGCTCCAGGGCAAACTAATTTATGCAGCAGCCAAATTGCTCGCTCACAACTTTAATGCCAGTAGCTCACAAAGTAGAATTTTTGCTCACAAGACTCCACAGCTTAGAGGGAACACTGGTAATGACCAGTTGCTTGCAGGCCGAATAAGAACCCTGGATGGCTGGTTGTGTTGGACACCCCCCCTGCTCTAATCCATCAGGGCACCCCCTAACTCGTCAGCCGACAAACTCCAGTAGTAAGGTTACCAACTTTTCTCCTCGAAGGGCTCCTCAGCCTTTAAAAGTTCCACCCTTACAAGATTTTTGTTTGTTTGCTGCAGCAAAATCAGCTTCTACTAATGCTAATTGTACTTTAAAAGGACAAGAGCCTGGTTAGGGAAAAGAAGGTGGCAAGCTCAAGTAAATGACTTGGTGGGGGAGAGGGGATGAGAAATGGAGATATGTTTCATCTTCAAAACTGCTGATGCTTCAGGCTGAGGCTCTGACCATGTGCAGAGTGGGAACCCCCACACACACTCCCTTTATAACAGGGTTGCAAGCCAATGCGTGTCTGGCTTGGAGCAGTGATGTGATTAATGCATTCCTTATTCCTTAGCATGTGCACACAGGATCGCCAACTTATTTAGTAGTCCCAGATAGATGAAGATGGGTAGCCATGTTAGCCTTTCTGTCACAGTGGAAAAGAGTCCAGTAGCACCTTAAAGACTAAAAAAATTTGTGGAATCTGTATCTGAAGAAGCGAGCAGTGCCTCACAATAGCTCATACACTACCACAAATGTTGTTTGTCTTTAAGGTGCCACTGTACATTTAGCAGTCCCAGTAGTGCTTTCAGTGGGTGTTACTGCTGAGTAGATGGCACAGTGGGAACAGGATGAGATCATTCTGTCCAGAAACAGCACGCAGGCACAAATTAAAATACAACTTCTTTTTTTTAATTAAAAACCACACTCGAGAAAAATACACACAACTTTCAGTGCTTATATAGAAAAGGAGCACACAGACCTGGGAAAATACCCACTTGGGACCCTACACAGCACCCGACACACAATCCACAAATCCAGATATATACGCTCTTAAAAAAAAATCAGAACTTGAACTCGTTACCAGATAAATATAAATATTAACACATTCATTCCGTCTTTCCTAGGGAATGACCAGAGCGTAGCAATTAAAGCGATTAAAGCAGAAGCTCTGGATGATTATAGCTCCTCCCCCCCCCAAAATTACAGCCGCTTCAAAACAAAAATGGACTTAATTATATATATTAAGGACTGGCGTGTCCCATTTAAGGTACCTCTGAAGCTACTGCCTCATGAAGTCACTTGGTTCCCTTCCATCCATGAAAAAAAATCCACACCAACGACAGGATTGTGCACAAGACATGCCAGGCACAAGGAAGTACTCCTTGCACTTGGAAATGCATCACAGCAAGCCCGCCCCCACCCCCATCACCTCTCATCTTGCACTACAAACGGGACAAGGACATGCGGAATGGAATCTTCACCATAAAACTTAATTGATGAAAAATAAAGCTTTTGCACTCGGGCCCATTTTATAAAGCCTGCCAATGCAATTTGATCTTTTCTTTCAAAAATACCTCTTGCCAAATATATATCTATCTATATATCTTTCTATCTACATGCCTCTTTCAAATATTTGTATCTTGGAATTAATAACCGGGCGGAATGGGCACTTTTAAGAAAAAATTAATTTCCACTACCGGACATGCCTCTTTCAAATATTTGCATCTTGGAATTAATAACCAGGCGGAATGGGCACTTTAAGAAAAAATTAATTTCCACTACCGGGACAGCACGTGGGGGAAATGAATGCTTCTACACAGTTCCACGTGAACACGTGAGATTTTATGCGGGATCAGGACAGCTTGGTGCTGTGTGTGGTTCTGTTCCGTTCCCAGATTTTGGGGATTTCCCCCCCCCCCCATTAAGCCCGGGGGGGGGGGATATCCTCTTCCCAGCATATTAGCTTTAAAAAAAAAACCTCCCAAGGAGAAATCCGAAATGTTTGAAGGCATGAGATGCTTTTTTAAGGCACATCTTGTTGGCCTCTGGGGTTCTTTTGGACTCGGATCTAAGGCCTAAATCAGCCTTTTTCAGTCTGTGGGCACCTTTGGAATTCTGCCGGTGTGGTGCTAATGTGTTGATGTTCCCCTTCAATCCAGGGACTTCCTGAGCTGCATGCAGGGGAAAAGCGACATGCAGAAACAGCCAAAAGTATGAAAAGTGCGTTTGACAGTCTTGAAGCAGTTAAAGAAAAGCTTTAAGTCTGATAACAAAGTCTGGTATATTTTTTAATATCTCCCTCCCAAATTTCCATTCCTCCCCCAGGTCTCTCTTTTTCTCCCAGGGCTTGTATCTCTGGGTCGGGCAGCGCGCCTTTGGTAGCAACTCTCGCTCCCGGAATCATGCCCCACGTTCCAAAACCCCTGAGTGCCGGGTTCAAATCCAGCCCAGCATGGGGACACCACAGCACGCTAGACCTGGCGAAGTCAGCTGTGTATTTCAGGAAGGGTTCCTAAGTCTGGAACCCTGCCGTTTATCAGGTTTCCTTAAGACTGCCCCAACCAAGATTAACCTGATTCAACTGGCCCCCGATCCATTTTGGTCACCCAATACCCGCAGTTGCGAGTTTTCTCAAGCACCCTATTATCCAAACACCCATGCGCATAGCAAGCAACCGTGGACCTGGCCAGCAGTTACAGTTTGTTTTTGAAAAAGATTCCAACTGTTGCCATCATATGAAAATATCTGTGAATGGCCCTCTCCACAGACAGGCACCATCGCCCCCCCCCCCGGCTTCAAAAAAAGAAAGCCCTGAGGAACAGACCTCAATCCTGCATGAAAGAAACTTAAAAATGTCCCAAAGCAGAAAGCCACAAAGAGTACAACGGTATCACACACAAAGAACAGAACCCCGATTTCCAAGCACCAGCTCTCTGGAAATCAGGCACGCCTCTGGGGCCTCTCCCATCACTCCAAAGCATCAAAATCCAGTTTAAAAAAATCCCTGATTTGCCAGGCGCTGCCAGGGTCGTGGCCCCTCGTGCGAAAAAAGTGCTTTGAGGCGCTTCAAACACTCATGGGAGGAAACCCGATTCCCTTCTGATTGGCTGTGGCCTGGCCACACCCATTCCACCCGTATTCCAAAGAAGGGAGGAGCCAGCAACACAGGATCCGGGGGGGGGGGGGCAGGAGCGCCTTCCTGTTGGCCGAAGAGGGGAAAGGAATTTTGCCAATTCCCACCTCCTCCTGCAGCAGAGACCCGGTTTGCACCATGAACCGTCCCTTCAACTCCACAGAGCGAAAGGAGCGACTCCCGTATCATCTAAGCCGTTAAATTGGAGCTGTCCTCCCAGAGTTGCAACCGGTAAAAGGGTGAGCGGGGGCAGCACCCTGGCAGGAAAAAAATAAGGTCTCCTCTACTTGCAGGAAGTCTTGACCATACAAAATTCTGGCAGTTCCTAGAGCTCTCCTTACACTTCTGGGTCGCTCTAGGAATCGCCAGGAGCTCTATGGTCAGAGTTTCCTGTAAGTAGACGAGTCTCCTCTACTTGCAGGAAGTCTTGACCATACAAAATTCTCGCAGTTCCTAGAGCTCTCCTACACTTCTGGGTCGCTCTAGGAATCACCATGAGCTCTATGGTCAGAGTTTCCTGTAAGTAGGCGAGGCGCGATTTTTCTTTTAAATTGTTCTCCCCCAGGGCAATCACCCTCCCCACCGGGCCTGTTTCTGTTTGCCGAGGGAAGAAATTCCCCGGAGGCCTCCCGCCATAAGAGGGCAAATGGGAACCCCACCCCGCTTCTGCCATTCATGTGGTTTCACACTTTAATAAAAATAATAAGCAGATTATTTAAAAACAAAACAAAACAATTAGTCAGCAGCCACCACACCCGTAAAATCACCCCTCACCTCTCTTCCAAGGTAGGGCTCGAGCCGGGGGGGGGGGGGAGGTTTTTTAATGGTATCAGTTAACATAGGATAAGTACCACTAAGTTATACCCTGGAGCAGAAATCAACCACACCCATTGTGAATCCTTTCCCCTCGGGGAAATGGACTTATCTTGAGATCTTTACATCAAGTCCAGAAAAATGGGGGAGGGGTGCGACCATTCGAGCCACGGGGCAGTTGGAACAGTCCCAAATTTGACATTCTTTCTTTGTTCAGTATCTAAACAGTCTGCAGAATTCGTGGCGAAAGGGCACAGGAACGCGGGTGGTCACGCTGAAAAGGATTCCATCCATCCAGGAAGGGCAGCGACGTCCACCAGTCACCGCCAGCCACGACAGCAAAAAATGGAGCCTCCAGATTCAGTGGCACAATACCTTTGGCACTAGGGACAAAAACAACAGTTTCCGGCAGGCAGAGAACTGGGTCGGATGGGCCTTGAACTCCGCGGTCTTCTGTTCTCAAATACC